AAATACTCGAATATTCGAGTACTCAAATACTCGAATATTCGAATATTCGAATACTCGATTATTTGAATATTCGTCAGATATTCAAGTATTCGAATAAACCACTAAACGAATATTCGAATATCAGATTTTTCAAAATTCCGAGCCCTAATTTGCACCAGTGAACCTAATCGCCAGAGGCTAAATACTGAACGTATAAATCCCGCGTTTGAGCAAATACCTTTAGGCAACGACCATACCACGTTGAATAATACCGGTTCTCGTCCGATCACCGAAGTTAAGCAACGTCGGGCGCGGTTAGTACTTGGATGGGTGACCGCTTGGGAACACCGCGTGCCGTTGTCTTTTTGCTTCTTTGCAATGCAAGCAAATGTTGCAAATAAAAAAAATATTTTACATTCAAAAGGAAATTAAATTACATTTTACCTATTCCTGATCTATTTATAAATTATTAAACCAAGGATAATATTAAAATTATAAAATAAAATTATTATTGAATCATCATATCGGAAATAATCTACGAATAGAGTACTAACCTTCTTTACTTGAATAGTAGTCGGAAGGTCGGGAAGAGATCTCGAGTTTGGCCGGAAAAGATGTCCAGTCTGGTAGGTAGGACAGAAAAATGTCCAGTCTGGTCGGTCGGACAGAAAAATGTCCATGGAACGACTGACTGGTCGGGGATCAGGAAAAGTATAGTCTGGTCAGTAGGTCGGAAATATGTTGCCTGGTCGGTAGGACAGAAAGGTCTCCCGTGAAATTGGTGGTTGTTGATTTTTGGCGAGAGCTGGTTCTTTCGAACTTTTGGTCCTTAGGGGTGCCTTTTGGCGTATGGTAAACATTCATAGTGACAGGGGGGATTGTTTCGTCTGTTACTGTAAGTGTCTTTGTTCTTAGAACTCGGTAATAGTCCTTGACTTGTTCGTCCAGGTCATCACCTAGGGAATAGTCAACACTGAACTGGCTTTCCTGCGAGTCGGCCAAAGCTTCCGCTTTTTCATTGTCGCTGTAGACCAGTCAATTGTTGGCATTAATGGGGGAAAAGTTAGTGTGGGATTTTCCTTGGAATTTTTTTGCGAGTTTCCATACCGAGGTTTTACCCGGCTCCAAGTTTTCCAGATAACTTTGCCAGTTTGCGTTTTTATTTTGGTTAGTTAGTTGGTTTGCTTGTCGGTTAAGAAGAGAATCCGCGTTTCTTTTAGCTAGTCGCTTAAGGCGATTCTGCAGGTTTATTTTTAATTTCAAGAGGTACCCAGATAGCACAAAATATTACATACATATTTAGGAAATATTTATATGTTTGCTAAATATTTCAGATCAAAAGCAAATATTTCTTAAATATTATTTTTTAAATATTTGTTTCTAATATTTAATTAGCATGAAACAAATAAGTTATTAATAATTTTCTTATTACATATTACTTTTTGTACCTATATATAACAACTTTAACACCCAAAAAGTTACTAATATATTATTTTTAATAAATGTGAACAAACTTTAGAACAAATTATCTGAATTTTCATTGATCAATGAATAGCAAATATTTCAGAGCAAAAGAAAATATTTTTTAAATATTATTTAAATGTTATTTAGAAAATATTTGTTTCTAATATTTGATTAACATAAAGCAAATAAAATAATAATAGTTTTTTTTTAGTACGTAATACTTTTTGTGTCTATATATAACACACTAACACGCAAAAAGTTACTAATATATTATTTTAATTAGTAGGAACAAACTTTAGAACATATTATCTCAATTTTCATTGGTCAATTAACGGTAAATATTTCAAAATAAAAATAAATATTTCTTAAATATTAGTTAAATGTTATTTAGAAAATATTTGTTTCTAATATTTAATTAGCATGAAACAAATACAATAATAATAGTTTTTTTAGTACGTAATACTTTTTGTGTCTATATATAACACCACTAATGCCCGGTTTCCGAACTCCAACATATCGGTTACATAAGCTTATGAGTCTCATAAACTACCAAAATCACGTCTGTTGGGTTTCTCAACGTCTACTTAAAGCTTATTGGTTCCATAAGTTATCGAATAGATATCTACTCGAAGATGGATGGATTTCGGCTTCATAACGTCTGACGCAAGCGTGTAGGGTTTGTTTTCATTTTTACAACAGAGCGATTCTAACCTAACATAACCTATTCTTATTACATAA